ATTTTGAATTGCTAATTGATAAATTCGCCAATTCGAAAGCCAGAAAAATGCCCTTGTAATTAATTTTTTTTGTATGGTATTAAAAAATGTTATTTGCCAAATAAAGTTCATAGTTTCATAATATTGTTTTTCTTCAAGCGTGAGGGGGCCTCAATTTGTTTGCGCCTCGGGCCTCCTAACTACTAAATCCGCCACTGAGAAAACAAGAGTTACGATCAGGAATAGGGAAGAATACAAAAAAAATAAATCACCCACAAAGCTTCCAGCATTGGGTTGTGTATAGGAAGAAAATTGTCGTATTAGTATTTTAAAGTTTTTCAAAGGAGCCACGACTTTTACACAAAAGCCGTTTCTATCTTCAGGAAGGAGAGATCGATTCAGTTCCGCTTTGATGTTGATGGCTTGGACTCTGTTGGCTCTATGTCCCTGGAGGAATGACTTTGAGAAAGGGCCTCTATGTTGCAGAGGAACGTTGTAAAACAAGCGGAGTAATTGCTTTTGAATGTGACGTATGCGTTATTTTATGTGCAGTACATGTATACTTAAATATTTATTTTTGTAAGCATCAAGGAAAGTTTTAATGGCAGGAGATTTTTCAATCCAAATGAACAAAAGACAAGAATAAATGAAGAGAGAAATCAGCGAAGAGAGAAAAATTCAGAAACTTTCCTTGAAGAGAATAAAATGGGATGCTAATTTAGTCTATCCATTACCATTTGAAGTTATACTCTTTGTGACCCTCAGATTTCATGTCTCCGAATCACAAGTTGGAAGGAGTTATTTCGGCCACCAACTCCAATCCCTCACAGTGCAGAAATCCAAATTAAATATGTCTGGTATGCTTTCACCAGTTCTGAAGAGTGTTTGATTAGAGCTGTTAAAATCAGGATAAAATTGCCCTTTATTTTTACAGGGTTGCTATAAGCTGTGGATATGTAATGGAGATCAGCCCAGCTTGTGGCAAAGCACTAAAGGACATGAACACCACAACCAGCTCAGCTGCAGCAATAGATATGTTTTGGAGCTTCACACAGAAGGATCTACATTGGCTGTTGCTGTGTCCCCTGATACAGGGATAAATCAATTCATTTTTAATATGGCTAGATATGTGGATAGATAATTAGACTTGTTATTCTTCGCTGTACTACAGATGGTGTTTGAGGTCAATTATTTAGCATTCACACAAAAATGTAGCATAAAATACAATATAAACAGAGAGATTTTCCTCTTACATACATTTATATAAACGTCAATGTGCTGTGGAGAAAAATATCCATCCCTTATGTTCATTGGAAGATGAGATTTTAGAACAAAAAAACCTTCTGAATTTGTGTACTCCAGTTTGGGGAAATGCAGTTCTGCAGCATTTGGGAAACTGAGGTAAGCAGCACTGATATTAAATAATTTTAATGAAAATACTTAAATCAGTTGTAAAAAGTATTTATTATATCCTTTTTTTCAAATTCTATCCAACTTCAACAATATTTTACAAATAACAGCTGTCAAATCATAACTTTCCCTATAAAATGCACCCCTATATTAAGACCTCAGTAAAATAGAAAATTCAACCAAAAAATATAAATACAAAGCCAAAATAAAATATACTAAATACAAACACTGGAAATTTAAGTAAGTACCCACTACTTGTAGAAATATACATATTTTAAACATAATTACAATCATAAGTCAGTAGCCTGCTGAATGAACTGAATATATTACTTGCAGTTTGAACTAATATTTTTATTATCTTACTTTCTGTAGCATTGCCAGTGAATGCACACCCAACAATCATATATTCTTGATTCATAATTCTTCATTTTTAGTTGATTATATTCCTTATCAAATTCAATTGAGAGTTATAGCCTTTGTTTTTGACTGTCATAGCTTTTTCCAAAACTGGCTGTAAAACCAATGTCCTATTTTTTTTTTTATATGATTAAAAACAAATGGTGATTTACTGATGATAAAAATAATTAAACGGTGATTAAGAAAAATAAGCAAAAATGGGTAGAACTGTTATTGAAACAATTTGCTCTTTTCATAATCCTTAAGAGTTCCCTTTGCTTAGAGTTCTTCTGAGCACGAAAAAGGCAGCAAATATATGGTCAGGAAGAATATAATGGGAATTGTTCTGCAGGCATTACTGAGTGGTGTTTCATCCTGGGTAAAATTAAAACTCCCAAAGCTCCATCCTTTATTCTATTGTGACACTGGCAAAGCAACATTTACTGGGACCTGATTGGGCTGAGGTGCTGGAGAAATGTTGCTGATTGACTGTTGAGGAACAGAAGCTGCCTCCATTTTGCTGATGTGTATGAAACGCAGACGAAGTTTCAAAGCTGGCCTTAAATTGCAAATAATTTTCTCAACCTTTAATAAAAAGAAAAAAGGTGAAAGAAATCTCCGTATAAATTATGCAGTTTATTAGTATTAGCTTGGTTTTTATCCTGCTTGTCCTTGAAGGCTCAGAGTTTTGGGTATTTATTAGATTTCTAAGGCATCAGGATGACAATAATAGCCAAATATAAAACCCAAGGGCTATATTCTATATTTAAAATGGGGGGCAGAGAAAAAAAGATGAAGAATGTCTAACAAATTATAAAATGCAAACATCCACCCCACTTCTAAAACCGCCATCATGCATTTATTCCCCCAAACATTTATTTCTGATATCAGTTCTCAAACAGCTAGCAGTCTTATCTCATTTTCAATTTAAGTTGGTTTTTAGTCTGAAGCAGTTTAAATGGCAATATGGTGAAGATAATAGCAGTGAGTCTTCAGAAAGTCATTAACACTTATTCTAATTAAAATGGTCTATTGACATTAAAAGGGCAGGATATTAAAAAAAAAAAACTTAAAAGAGAAAATTTCATTAACAAGTGTTAAAAGCTTCACACTTGATTCAAAGCATCTAATATTTCTTTCTGTATAAAATGGAAGAAAAATGTTCAGTTGGTTTCTTCTCATTCACAGGGCAGGCCCGCTGTGGAATTTTCGTTTGTTGACCTCAGATGGGAAAGTGAATCAAACTTCAATTCTACTCCAAAGTGCTATTTCTTGTCAGAACTACTATTCACTTACTTGGTCCTTCACGCTGTCTCCAGTAAACATATACTTCACATGGTATAGAAAATCACAGATGGGATCCATGTAGCTGAGATGCACGTTGCATTGATCCACTTCCAGAAGCATTTCATAAAAAGCTACTCCAATCTATTGCCAGATACAAACATAAAGTGTACTGAAAACACATAATTTTTTTCCCCATATTGGGTCAGTTCAAATTTGATTTATTTTTAAATTCCAACATTCGTATTATAAAGTTAACACTTATATTACAATTGTATTATTTTCTTTTTTTTTTCATTCCTTTTGTTTAAAATTGTTCAGAAATTGACAACAATAAAAATAATAAAACATTTAGTATTTATATCTCAGGTATGGGAGGAAAAGGACAAAATGACAAAAAAGTAATCAATGAAGAAGAAAAACATAATGACTTCTGTATGTTTTTCAGTTGTACTGATGTTATAATTCCATAAAAGATCAAAGTTCTATTTTAAAAAGTTATTATCAAAATGGTTGGATGATTAAAAAAACAAACTACCTGCAGCAAAAACAGCATATGCATTCTTAGTCTTGGAAATAAAATCTCTTTATGGCAATGCATGTCTATAAAAGAGTATTTGGGTGAAAATACTTTATTACGAATATGGTAAAATATAATTAAACAAACATTTTGTGCATTCTCAGCTGGCTAGCAATTGAATGCTGAGGTAAAAAAAATCCACCCAAAAATTCTTCCCTGTTTTCAGAGAGAGCTTGAAATCAACTATGCTTAGCTATCTATGCTGAAGTGCAGTGAATTTTTTTTGACTCCCAAAATATCCTTGAGAATTTGTTTTTAAACTTTTTTGGTTCTGCTTGAAGAAACGAGATAATGAATGCTGAAGTCTAGGGTCCTGTTTTTGTTTTTATTTGCACTGTGCCTTGATGAAAACTGCATTTGTGCTTCCCTGCCAAAATGGAGTTCCTGGGAAAAATGCAATACGAAGTCACTAAATCAGCAATATACCAGAATAAAAAGAAAGGAGACCCCTGAGATATCCTAAATTTACTTAAATAACATGGACTGATATTAATTTCGTAGTGGAAATATACTAAGAAATCACAGTGCTTTATTTCACTAAAGGAGCAGATACAGTTGAAGTCCGCCACAGAAAAATACAGCTCTGCAGAAATAGTGAAAGAATACAAATACTTCTTCACTAAGTCAATTATTCTTGGAAGTTTATATAAAAAAAATCCTGTAAGTTTGTTTCAAACTTCCCTTCGGAAAGGGGAATTTTGTCCATTTCAGAAAATTTTCGACTTATTCTTTTGCAAAATCTAAACAGTGTAGCTATTTTTTTTTAAAAAAAAATTGTGGATGGCAACCTACCTCTAGCATGCATCTGGTCCTCTCTTGCTGGAACCTCTGTAGAAATGGGCCAACAAGATGATAGACATAAAGGAGCTGGAATTCAGTCTTAACTATTGGTATCAGTACTTCAGTGAGAAATCTGTAATATTTTGTAAGATATAATAAATTAAATCTTCAAAAATGAAAGTAACTGAAAATAGTTTTTTGAAAGCTCCCAAATTCTATCAAGACTCAATTATTACCGATAGCCATGGGATAAAAATAATTAAATTTGACCGTTAAGTGTACTTAATAGGAGCTTGATATGAATATGTGATCTATCTATACAGCAGAGGCCTTCAAACTTGGCAACTTTAAGACTTGTGGACTTCAACTCCCAGAATTCCTCAGCCAGCAGGGCTGGCTGAGGAATTCTGGGAGTTGAAGTCCACAAGTCTTAAACTTGCCAAGTTTGAATGCCCCTTGATCTACAGCACATGCAAAATACTGAAGATGATATTCATCCATTGCAAACATCACCCAGTGATACCTACTTTGGAATGAGGGAAAGCTGGCCAATGCTTGAATGGTGCCAGACAGCATGCGCCAATGCTAAGGTGTAGCTACAGCACATCTCAGAGTAAGACTGGTGACAAGCCGTGAAGTCAAACAGTTGGAACGGATACCCAACCCATTCGGTCTCTGAAGTCAAACTAGGACTGTTGATAACACTCACAATCCGTTCATGGAGGACAATCCAGTAGGGCTCCTTGGAAAACAAAACCAGACGCACAACAAAGATTAGAGAGAGAGAGAGAGAGCTAGCATGTGTATAACCTAAAATGGAAGCCTGAATCACAAGATGAGGAAGACATTCATTTCTACATACTATGACCTGCCTAATTGTCAGTCCCTTCTAGCTCAATATGGCAATTTCCTAGTAATGCCATGATTCAAAAACCAAGAGAAAGGGGTGGAATCTATGGGAAGAGCCAGGCGGGCATCCACTACAGATGTATGAAACAGCACAATCTTCAAACCACAGTTCTTGGAATGTTCTAATTTTGAAGACTGAAAACATCCTGCATACTTTGAGTACAATCTAATGCTTCACAATTCTAACAGAGTGAGTGTGCATGTAACCACATGTACCTCATAATATATGATATAAACACAGGCCCTTTCTTTATCCTATCACAGTGATAGCGAACCTTTTAGAGACTGAGTGCCAAAAACTGGCCCTGCCCCCGCTCCACCCCCTGCTCCGCCCCCACCCCGTCCCCCACCCCATCTGCCCGCAGGGCCACTCACCACCTCCAGGGCCCACTGCAGATTGCCCAGGCAGCCCAGCAGCGCCATGGCGGCCACGCCCTCTGCCCGCACCCTGCAGCATCAACTGTGTGGGATGGGGCATGAGGACAGAGTCTTGTCTACGCTGCCATGTCCTTGGCTGCCCTGCTCCGTGTGGGCCACGCTCGGGGGTGACTCTCCTCCAGGGGGGCTGCTGGTGAGGAGGGGGTCGTGGGGGAGGCGAGGCTGGGGCAATGGCATGTGTGCCCACAGAGAGGGCTCTGAGTGCCGCCTCTGGCACGCGTGCCATAGGTTCACCACCACTGTCCTATCAGTACTTTGCATTTGCAAAGTACTACCAAATACAGGTAGTCCTCAACTTAACGACTATAATGGAGCCCAAATTTTATATTGCTAAGTGAGAAATTTGTTAAGTGAGTTTTGCCCCCTTTTACTACTTTTCTCGCCACATTTGCGAAATGAATCGTTGCAGTTCTTAAATTAGTAACAGGGTTATTAAGTGACTCTGGTCTCCCCATTGACTTTGCTTGTCAGAAGGTTGCAAAAGGGGAGCACGTGACCCCGGGACACTTCAAGCATCATAAATGTGAGTCAGTTGTCACGCATCCAAATGTAAATCATGGGGGATGCTGCAACGGTTGTTAAATGTGAATAATGGTCATAAGTCAGTGCCACTGTAACTTTGAACGGTCACTAAGTGAACTGTTGTAAGTCGCAAACGACCTGGAATGTGATCATTATGTATTCGTGATTCAAAAGGGGGGGGGGAGAATTTATTTCTCTCAAAAGACAATCGCATTGCATCGCACGCGTATTGGAAGCATCAAGGTGCTTCCGGGTTGAAACAATTAGCCGATGACATCACCGCTGCCCGGGGGATGCCCTGTTGGGGGCTCCCTAGCAGGAGTTGGAGACAGAGCATAATGGCTCGTGTGGTAAGGATGCTGGGTTGGAGGTTAGCAAGCCCATGTTCAAGACCCGAGCCCTGCCATGGGGGGGGGGGGAAGAGAGCTCCTGTCCTCAAAAGACCATGAGGCCATGCAATCCACCTTTGACAGCTTTTCAAAGTATGTCCTAGGAAAATAAAAGGCTGCATTTCTAGTCTCTAGAACAGGGGTAGGCAACCTAGGCTCTTTTATGACTTGTGGACTTCAACTCCCAGAATTCCTGAGCCAGCATGGCTCAGCTTGGAAACCTCTCCCTTTCCCCTCGGCATGACTGGCTCAGGAATTCTGGGAGTTGAAGTCCACGAGTCATAAAAGAGCCAAGGTTGCCTACCCCTGCTCTAGAAGCTGACTTTAATTCTTCACATTCCAAATGTTGTACAAGCTTTTAATAAAAAGTAAAAAAAACAAAAACAAAAAAGAATTTTTTTAAAAAAAGCCCATGTTCCAATTTCTAACTATTTCTCATATATAGGAATTGGAACTCTTGCACTTAAAACTTAAGCTGCCTTTTTCTTCATTTAATTGGAATTTTAAACCCCAGATAACTTACAGGTAAGGCGGTGATAACCAACCCAATTGCATTCATCCAGGCGGTGATATTTTCTCTGGGCACCAGAGGCTGACTGTTAGGAAAACGAGAGGGAAAAAAATCACTGTTTTGGCACTCTGGATTCTGGCACAGGGACAGTAAAGCTATGCATACAGGTAGTTCTCAACTTACAACCACGACTGAGTCTAAATTTTCTGTTGCTAAGCAAGAGAGTTGTTAAGTGAATTTTGCTCCATTTTATGGCATTTCTTGCCAGAGTTGTTAAGTGAATCCCTGCAGTTGTTAAGGTAGTAACATGGTTGTTAAGTGGATCTGGCTTGCCCATCAATTCCGCTTGTCAGAAGGTGGCAAAAGGTGATCACGTGACCCCAGGTCTGATCACATGACCGTAGGAACACTGCAATGGTCGTTAAGTGTAAAAAACAGTCACTAAACTTTTTTCAGTCACTAAACAAATGGTTGTAAGTTGAGGACTGTCTGTACTGTTCAAAAACAAATCAACGAAATAAACTTCAATAGCCTTTCCTCTTTTGATCATGTTAAACTAATAAAATCTATATTCTAGCTTCATAATACTGGGATTATTTCTATAAAAAAAAATACATACCTTTTCAAAACAACGTTCAGAAGGTCATTGCCCACATCCTTCCCCGGAACAGCCAAAGCCATGAGTTCAACACAGGTCACATGGAGGGCGTGGGCAGCTGGATTAGGAAATTCATTGAACCTCCAATCACAGTTTGGGAATGGACTGGATGATTTACCAGCCATCGGTGATTGCAGTTAAGTTAATAAACTACTGTATTTTATAGGAAAGAAGTATTGAAACATGATGTCATAAACCCAACAGGTGCTCTTCAGCCAGCAAGGTAAAAAGGCTGTGCACACACACACACACACATATATACAATTGGGGAGGACCTTTCAAGCAGCTGCAGGCTTTCTAAAGGATGCTCTAATGCAGACAGGTCAAACTCGCGACGTCATGTGACGTCGCGCGACGTACCAGAGTTTTTCCCCCATTGCCGGCAATGGGGTGAGCGCAGTTTCGTGATGCATCCGGGCCGCGGGGCGGCAGTTTGACACCCCTGCTCTAATGCTTAAAGAAGGCATGTCCATTCACATTTGCAAATCACCTTTCAACTGCTCTGACCAGCTTTAATAATTGTGCACGTACGCTACTTAAGCATACGTATTTCCTACCAAAGAACACAATATGTTATTACATTTTGAATAAACTTCCCCAGGTCCAAAATTTAAAAGTAAACTAGTTAAAAGATTTGATTCTTTGCTCTTTTTGTTGTTTTTAATTTAGCTTACCTATTAAAATAAGGCAATGTGCTCATTGTGCTAGGAAGCCAATTGTTCTTATCTTAACTGGGAGTTATTTCCTAGTAAACGCTGATGAGGCAAAACATTGAAATTGCACATACTGTATATTGTTCTCATTTTGCAGTGATAGTCTGAATGCTATTGGCAGAGAACTATTAATAACTGAATGCTACAGAAATAACAGCACAGCTAGTTTAAAGAGAATAACCAATGTTCTATATACTATTATTTTATATACATTCATTATTTTAGAAAGGATATTATCCACCAGCCTCCCAATTAGTTTGCAGTAATACATATCATCGGGGACCCATGGGTTATCTTCTCGTGGATTCATAGCGCATTTAAGATAAGTATCACTTAAACACCATCCTAATGGCCGGTTGTCCTTTAGGGAACCAATGATGGCATGGACAAGCTTCCGTTTGAGGTTGGTTCGCTCTCGGAGATGTCCCTCATAATAGTGAAGGGTATTGTAGAGGTAGGTCACTGGCCGATCTGCCAAGAAACAAATCCTAAGTAAGCAGCTGTGTTTGCACTTTTTACAATCTGGATTACCATAAAGATATACACACACACACACACACACACACACACACACCAAGAACATGATCTGTGCTTTGTTCAAATTATATAAACTGACATTCTTCACATGCTATTCTTTTTCTTTTCTTTTCAGATTTGCATAATTTAGTACAGTTTGCCAGTTATAGAAGAAGTAAGGATATTGAAATGTCATTCCCAGACCTGGGAATCTCATTCAACAATTGTATGGACTTCATATACATTCCTTTATTATCCTCTTTGTACATGTATAGCCTAGACATGCTCCCGTCATGAGGAAAAGACCAGCTGAAAATTAAATTTATTTTTCATTCACAAACAAAAATGGCAGTGAAAGAAAAAGTTTTGTGGAGTGGTGGCTTACAAGAGTTCTTTCTCGCGATTTGCAGATTATTAGAAGACTGAAGTCACACAAATCAAAACAGCATGCAAAATGTTTGGAGATGGTGCAGGAACTTGATTCTCTGGTAGAATTAAAAACTTCGACGATTGATTCATGTGACACAAAAATCACCCAATCTTAAAATTCTGATAAACAAAATAAATAAACATCTTCAAGGTGAAAAGACTTGTTTAGTTAGACAGCCTATTTGGTAAAATAATTTTCCATTTTAAACACTTCTTAAACAATGCTGAGGAAAATCAATCCAAGGCTCCATATAGTCCCTTTGTAATAACCACTAAGATTATATGTTTGCTTTCTTCCAACCTATGTATGTACTGTTAGAAGTGCACCACATGAAAGCTCTAGCTCTTAGATTTAACAAAACTGACAATTGAATTTTTTTCCCATGTACCTTTCACTCAGTCTTTGATAAAATTCTTGTAACCTAAAAGATAACAAATTCATTTAGCCTTTATATTTTGCGTAATAAATTCTGTCAACTTAATCCAATTTGCATGGATCTAAAATTCAAGCTGTTGGATCACACAATCTGAATATTTTAAACCAATCTGAATATTTTAAACCATGGAGAATTAATTTTTTTTTTTGAAAAAAAATGTTATCAGAAAGAGGGAAGAGAGGGGACAGGTGTGTTCATGCTATTAGGATTAGAATATACTCACAATGCAGTGTCACATTTATCTCCTCAAACATATTACTGAAAGATTTCAAACCTGTTTCCCTGCAACTTCAAGAGATTTGATGCTTGTACAGAGTTCAACAGAAGTCAAGGGCTTCTCTTTTTCTTGACTAGAAAGGATAGCTCTCCCTGAATCCATCTACTAACCCCTGCACTCACATGCCTGAGTATTTTTAATGAGGGCTTACTTCTCAGACCTGCTGCATTGCCACTGCTCAATATATCCTGACCCAATTATTCTTTACAAGCTTGTCTGTCTGCAGTTTCCATTCTTCCTAGAAACAGTTTTCCAGCAGCAAGTCTGACAGTGCAATTACTTCTCTACCACATTTTTAAGACAAACACAGTTGGTATAAGACTCAGACACATCATGAAATAAATAGAAAATTTAATTACAGAGAACATTTATTATCAATCAATCAATATTATTATCAATTCAGTAACATTCAGTAGCAAAACAACTTTCATTAGAACTCACCATGAAATTTGTACAAGCCTCCTAAGTGATCTAGCAGAGTCTCCAAGGATTTGGACACTGGTAAAAGTTCCAGAAATCTGTGAATCACAATGTCAAACACGGGCAGGAAGCGAAGGCAAACGTTCCCAAAGTAAATTGGTAAATACTGTGGTTGGATTTGAACAGGAGGATTGACTTGCTCGGCTAACCCTTCAAAATACAGCTTTTCAGGGTATTTCTGAGGGAAAAAAATAATTATTTGCCTGGGTTTAATAAGCTTTCATTATTGATGTTCTATTTTCTTCCCACATTTGAATAAGATTTCCCTCTAATGCTTTACATCCATATTTTAATGGGAAAATATCTGGCACAAACACCTACATCAGAGTTGTCCAACCTTGGTAACTTTAAGATCTGTGGACTTCAACTCCCAGAATTCCCTAGCCAACCATGAACATTAGCCCTCAACAACAACAACAGCAAAATGTATGTCAATCCTAACTATCACTTCAAATGTGCTCCATCACTAACAAGATGATCTTCTGCCACTCGGAAAAACAGTTGTGTATTTGTTTGTTGTAGAAGCACTGCTATTTAGGGCAATTAAAAGACAAACAAAAAGTACCTTGTGGTAGCTCATGTGTTTTGTATGCCAGTCATTCTGTAGCCAATGCTCAGGAGAGTTCTCCTTCACAAAATCACTCACTCTGTTTCGGAAGTCATTGGGTTTCAGTAGGAGCAATTGAATAATGAAATAGCACACTTGGGCTTCATTGCCTTCATGACTGCGCATTGCCTTAAATAATGATAACAATTTAAAAATGAATCAAAGTTGAACTACAAGGCAGCACTATAAAACACCTAGAGGAATATTTCTAATTTCTCTGGAGTATAGCTCAAGTAAAAAAAAAAAAAGAATTTGAAAATCAGTTAAATATAAAACTTCCCACATTTCTTTTTTTGACCCAAAAACCTGTTCAAGAAAACTAGGGGTTTCTCAAGAATGCACTTTATAGTGGTTGAAAGGAATTCTAAAATTATTTTTTTTAATACCCTTCAAAGAATCAAACAGCCTTCTCTACAGGACATGATAATCCACTGACATGAATACTTGAACTAATTTCAATCCTTCCATAATCATGTATAAAAATATGATACAATTCACCAACACCATTCATTTCTAGTTGAGGAAGTGAGGTGAGGCAACCAAGATTTACAGAAACCTATGTGATTCTGATACCAAAATTTTTAATTGCCTGCTTGTACAGCAACGCTGTATTACTTAGACCAGGGGTAGGCAACCTCGGCTCTTTTATGACTCATGGACTTCAACTCCCAGAATTCCTGAGTCAGCATAGCTGACTCAGGAATTCTGGGAGTTGAAGTCCATGAGTCATAAAAGAGCCAAGGTTGCCTACCCCTGACTTAGACCCAACTGGTTCTTATCAGCTTATCTCTGAATGTCTACTGTTCCAGTAGATCCCCTTTCAATGACATTTTAGCAGTGTTTTTGGGATCCACGAAATTTTGCAAAGTCTTTGAAAGCAATATTGTGATCATAATATCTGACAAAACTCTGAACAGATAATGGCAACTTCTCTCTCAGCATTCCTTACCAAACACAGTATCAACCGATCCAATGTCACAATGTTGTACTTCCACACCATGTCATTAAGAATTTCAATACATTTGTTGAGCTGCTGGCCCCCAGCTGAGGTAGAAAATTCATAGACCAGGAAATCTGCAAATGTCCTGACATGAGCAACCAGGGCTCTGGCTCCAATTCTTTCTAGTACTCTAAAGTAGGAGAGAGAAGTATAATATGACATACAAAATACTTACAGGAATATTTCTAATTTCTAATTTCCCCTCCCCCTCCTTGAAAGGCTGTGTTATCAAGTAACCAGCTTTTAAAGTTCCACTCTTAGAAGGTTCTACAGATTGAAATTTGTACAAATAAACCAGATTTTGATGAAACAATATTGTAAAATGGAGAGTCGGGATTCTTCGATTTCTAAATGGATTTTTTCCCCAAGGCTGTTGACAGAAGCACACTCTGTGTTGCTTTGCAATGAAAGCACCGGTTATAAAAGTCCACTTTGATCATACGACTAGCAATCTGTTTAATGCGTTCAATTACAGGCAGTCCTTGACTTACGACCACAATTGAGCCCAACTCTTCTGTTGTTAAGCAAGACAGTTCTTCAGTTTTGCCTCATTTGCCTCATGGACCTTTCTTGCCACAGTGTTAAGTGAATCACTGCAGTTGCTAAGTTAGTAACACAGTTGTTGAGTGAAATCTAGCTTCTCCATTGACTCTGTTTGTCAGAAGGTCCGCAAAAAATGATCACATGACCCCAAGACATTGCAACGGTCATAAATACATGCCCAATTTTGATCACATGACTATGGGGATGCTGCAACGGTCGTGAGTATGAAAAATTGTAGTAAGTCATTTTTTTTCCAGTGCCATTCTAACTCTGAAAGGTCACTAAACGAATGGCTGTAAGTCAAGGACTACCTGTAATGCATTACAAGAAAAGTGCACCCCAAACTTGCTCAGTATTTTGCTTTAGAAAACAAAACACGTGTTATTTCAAATGAACGGCCACTATGCAGAAAATGTTCTCTATGTCCACAGTGTCCCAAGTATTATTCCATTTTGCTTTATAGTGCCATGATATAAACAATAATCAAATCTTTTAAATCATACCGATAACCAATTTGGTTAATGTGATCGGTTTCTAAGAGCATTTTCCAGAGGAGACACAGGAAGAGAGGAGGGGAGCCTTGCATAGAAAAATGGGTGATGATATCATTTTCAATTGACATGGATTTCCACTTTCGGTATTCCTCTTCCACATTTTTTTTTAGGTTAAACCGGCTCTCTTGAGGCACATTGTTCTGCTTGAAGAATGCCTGAAATAAAACAAGTTAGTAGTCACTAAAACAAAGTTCATTTTTATCGAAAATGTATTACGTTCTGTGAGGCCACTCCAATTTCATAATTCAGTTTTCCTACCAGGCTCCTAAATTATGACCAACTCTCTTCTCTATCTATGGCACAATTTTACCAAATTCCATTTTGGGCAATTTAATTCTAACTTTCATCTTCTTGATAGACAAAGATAAACATAAATTTGACATCCTCTTAGGTAATTGCTAAGAATCAGTGCTGACTTGTGGAATATAATCAATCATTAGTGTATGACTGTGTGTGCATGTGTGTATGTGCTTTAAAACTCTTAATAAGTTAAAAATATTTAAAACTAAGAAGAGCTCTACAACATAAATATACAAAACCCATCATGACATATCTTTTTTTTTAAGTAGTCATCAGAACTGGAACACCTGAAGATGATACTGAAATTGCAATTCAATGCAATTATAAGATTGAATCTTATAACTGTAAGATTATATTATTGTCTCTTATAATTATGAGATTCAACCTTATAGTACTGTAATTTAATTCAAAGTTAATGACAATAGAGTATGTTTATAAATGTGAGTTTTGTAACAAAAGCGTGAGTTTTTGTACAAATTTCTAAAAAGATAAGGTTAATGTAGAAATGGAGGAAAAAACAGACAAACACAACAGATGGAAACAATATTTAGCTTGAAGCAAATTTTACACAAGAATATAATTATCATCTTTCAAGACATACATAGATTATTGAACCCAATGCTTCTCAAACTTTGCAAATTTAAAATATGTGAACTTCAACTCTCAGAATTGGTTGGGCAATCTGAGAGTGGAAGTATACATATCTTAAACTTGCCAAGATTGAGAAAGAAAGATTTAAGCTAAGCTATTACCTGCAGAGGAGCTGGGAAACAACTCAAAGTATGGGTTGCCCAGTTATGGGGAGTAAAGCTCATGATAGTCTGCAGGATATCTTTGCACCAAGTCCCCTGAATGGAATCTGAACCTGTGAAAAAATCTAAAACAGAAAGATAAACATAACCGACTATTCAAAAAATCAAAGCAAACACAACTGGATTAACGAATACTATCATCATCCAGTAATTCTGTTTGCATTCCTTCAGTTGCTCTTAATTACAGTTCTTCACTTCTGCTATGCTTCATTAAATGATTACTCAATCTGTGAACAGCCCAAGTCCTAGTACCATATGGTTGATTCTAATCAGAACTACACTGATTAAGCCAACTATTCCTGAAGTCGCTGCAAGAGGAATGGACTTCATACAATTTCTAAATGGAATATTATCCTACATTAGAATCTACATGTCATATCAAGATAAAACATCTGCATGTTTAATCTGAGAAGTCTTAACAGTAGAGGTAAATCAAGAACAATAACATTTAAGATACTTTAAAAAATTAGCACAGTTCTAACCATTTCTATTTTCTAAGTAGGATCCATGAAAATCTGGAATTGTTACCTGTGACGTGTGTTGCTCTTGCTAGAGTCAAAATGAGTGCTCTGTTCAGTTCCTCCGATTCTGCTGAAAGCACGGTTTTGGGCTCATTAAGGAATCGAGTAAATTGTGGCTGGACCTCAGAACTGCCCAAGGCAGTAATCAGCCGCAGTGCTGTGCTTTCCACACTATAAAAAGAATACACTCTTCAGGATATGTTATGCTAATTACAGAAAATTGAAGTAGAAAACACCTAGTTTCAATGAATTGTATTCTAAAATTGCACAAGCCACATTTCCCACATGGTTAAATTGTAGATTGGTGAAATGCATTGACTCCTGAAGACATTACATCAAAGAAGTAAACAGGAGATGTAATCAATCCAGCACTATTTGGATTTGTAACCTTATTTTTTATTATCGTCTAGCATTGTGAATATATACGTGTATATTTCAAGTAGCTTAGAAATGCTGCAAGTAAGTTTAGTCTTTAACAGGGGCTCTGGAGATAACAGTAAATATTTTAACTTCTAACTAAAATCACAAACCAATTAATTTCAGGTACATTTTGCTTGAAACAACTCAGATTGAATTCATGGATACATTTTTTAAATTATAATCTGCAAGGAGTCAGATGAAATGAAAAGGTGCAATTTATCAAACAATAAAGCAAAATAATCCCATCCCCAAGATAGAGCTGCACTGAAGATGAAATGGAAAGTTGATTCTATCTCATCCCAATAAAGGCCACCCCTTATAATAACCTCCTAAAAACCCAGTGGCTACCTTAAGGAAGGAAATCCAGAATGTATCTGTGCATCTAAATGATTGAATTTATTTCTCAAAACAATTCACTGCTTACTAAATCACAGAAAAAAACAAAATGTTTGCTTGTCTCTTCACTTCCTTCCTTGGAACTTAAGCCTATTATTCAATTAAATCATCAGATGAAATTGGAATTGGTGGTAAAACCAGGAAGCAAAATTGCAACTGAGGTTTAAGTTCTTGATCAGGCAATTGCAACTAAAAATAGTAAAGCTGTGGTTTAATTAAACCACAATTGTATTGTTCACAGGTGACACAGTTATTATTTCAATGTACGTACCACATTGAATCCAGAAGAATGCTTAAAATCACTAATTGCTAAAACTCAAATTGAGGTCTTAAATCTTTTCCTACAATGTAATGCATAGCCTTTTGAAATGATCATTAATATGGCTTGGCATTGTTTAAATGAGTTTATTACGATTTGTTCTGTGGACCATGTTTCAGCTCCCCCCTCCGCCCTTTTTAAGTACTCAATCTTACACAAGGCCCAATAAAATGAAGAAGCATGGGAGGTGGAGGAGAAATGCTCAAGTTTGTTCTGATTTGTAAAGCTGTAGAAGAAATGGCAGAATCTAGGAGTGGAGTTAAAAGGGGAGTCAGCCTAGAATCCCTACATGGTCACAAGAGAACTAAGCTCAACCCCTCTTGAGTGCTGTTCACCATCATTTAACTCTAAGCAAGTGCTGACAGTTACTCAACTGACTTCCAGTTATGTAATACAACTATCTTCCTCACTTTCCCACTGAATCCTTCATGGTTCCTAAATCTGAACGGAAGGGAAGGTAGCTCCATTTCATAGGCAGTGGGCAGCAGGCACACTAACCTCCAAGTCTATATGGACTGCTATCAAACATTCCCCCCCCCCGAAGTTCCCATTTTGTGTAAATTAGCAGGACTGTCATAACTTAAATGCATGGATTTTGTTCCATTTTATTCTCCTATGATTTCCTGACAAGCCTAGTGTCTCTAAAGCAAAAATGATGATTTGCTGAAAATACTATTACCACAAATGAAGCTGGTTTTGATTGGTCTGTGGAAAGGCAGCTAGAGAATGCAGATTACTCAGAAGCTGGACTCTGTAATGAGGCTGTATGTGGTGCATGCGATAGCTGAACATCTCCAACAGGGTATGCAAGATCCCCCAAGCATGAGACTTAAAAACTGTAGGCAGCAGTTGACCTGAGAAGAAAAGAAGTCCTGCCAATTATTTTCTAGTGAAAAATTAAGAGAAATTAATTGGAAGCATAAATCCACCCAGATTCTTACATTTACAAACAATTCTCAACTCAATATTCTTTGCAGTAAAATACTAGTGCTATATAGAAAAATCTGAAAAGCAGGAGGCTCATTTTTACAGGCATATTATTACTATACAAATAAGAATGTCACAGTGTTTATTAAGTCACCACTCCATTACACACAAGCTTAAAAGATCCCATTTAAAGGACAGGTCTTTAGTAAAAGGCCAAAGATTCATACAATGTGAAGAAAAACAAGGGGACTACATCAGGTCATTGTAGAGTAGCTTCAGATATCAATCTAAGCCAAAAAAAAAAAAATTGGTCGGGTTCACAAACTGCACTATGACAAAATGTATTATGCTTAACTGTAATTTAAAGAGTGACTCAATTACAGGGGTGATGAGCGTACCACTGGGAGAATTTAAAAAAAGAGGTTAAAGATACATCATTGTGGAAAAAATCTATGTAGTCACTAGGAATCGAAAATGACTTGATGGCAGAATCAATTTAGCAGGTGAGATGAATATTGTGAATTGTATATAATATTATGGTTAAAGAGGCATGAATTCAGTTTATTGTGATTTATTCCTCAGATCATTCTTCTGAAATTATAGCCTATTATGTATGAATAAGGCCAATCACAAATTAACCTTGGGCCAATCATTCTCACTCTAAATGATCTACCAAGGCTATTTACAGTTTTCAAGGTTTTAAACATTTTATCTGAAATTTCGGAGAGACAGAAATCATAAAAACATTAATAGAATATACAATATAATATAAATATTGTCTCTGGTGGACTTAGATTTTGAAAGGATAAATTTCAGTTTCACTCAAAGATACTTATATCACAAAATAAGTGTATTTTCTTCCATCATTTTTTAGCTAATATGGCCAATGGTCAGATTGTAGAGGCTATAATCAATCAATTTCTAGAAGGTTATAGATTGATTGGCATCAAGTAACGTGAGAACAGGCAGACTTTTCTCCTGAGAGACCAAGTCTCTCATCAGACATAATACCCCATATTCTTTAGATTATTGCATAGCGTTAAGGAATGATTTCTTTGATATTATAATATGCAAAGAAGCAACTAGGGGAAAGAAGTCTTGCAGGATTCCGTTATTGTAACCTTACAATAAATGTTAATGTTAATACTCATCTTCTTTCTGGACTACCTTGAAACGTTGACATCAAATCTTGCAAGTCTGAAAATATATCTCTCCCCTACCCCCTTGCCTTTTCAGTCCAAGAAATTAGGAAGGGCCCTTTCTGAAATGTTTACCATGCCCCCATTCTTTCTGCAGACTAAGCTGTCTCTTATCTGACTCTTTTAAAATATATATATATATTTTATTAATTTTTTTAACATAATCACCATTAATATTTGGTAAACAGCGTGTTGTCCGGGTTTATATTTACAAAGAATCAATAACAATTGGTTTCTATAATTCCATACTCTACATAGTAGCTTTCCTTGATTTTCTCTTCTTCCAATAATATTCCCTTTTATCAACCTTAAATTAGTACATTTCTTAGTATTTTAATAGATAACAATTGAATATGAACATTTTTCTAGCATTTGTACAAGTAACAACCACATCAATATGAAGCTTCTTTTCTAATGAATCATTTTAATCACCTTGTCATAGATCCTGTTTTTAAAGTTCTTATTTAAATCTGTTTTCCCCACAATGTTCAAAAATATTTTTACCCGTTAAGATTTTCTTAAAGAGTTAATTACACTTAAATATTTAAGTCTTTTTTTCTCATACAAGCCATCCCAGCAATTTTACATTTCTCATATCTTAAAACAAAAAAAAAATGAAGAAAAAAAATTAAGAAGACTCTTATCCTCCTTCTGTCTCTCAAGGACATTCTACAGATCATTACAACTGCTGATGATTCTAAGCAATTTGGAATTTAGGTTCTTAAAAATTTGTGGTCCAAAAGAATATTAATTAATGAAGTTTTCTTACTGATAAAACCTTTGATGCCCAAGGATTCTATTTCCATGTAAACCAGCAGACGGCTGTATGTTTCCACAAGAGCTGGAGCTAAGGCCAAGCTAGTCTTTGCATGGGCCAGTTTTATTACCCTGGTGGCGATGCTGTGAATAAGGCTGGAAAAAAGAAGGAGGAGGTATTATTTTCCATAACAAATTCTTAAAATTAGGACTCTTGGATTCAGGAAAAGCAGTTATGTCTGCGTTAACGTAACAGTGAAGCTGTACATCGGTTTCTTAGTATTCCAATGACTGCTCAGTCATGATTGGCAACCCCTCTGAAATTCAGCATGTCACAATACAGAGCAGCCACCAGTTTTGATTGGCACTAACCAGAATTCAAAATCATAGTTACTTGTTGGGTTTCAAACTGTAGTTAAGGCTTGGATGCTTAATCACAAAGAAGCCCATCAGAATCATGAAAAAACTGGCAAGGCCAGGATTAAGGAGGGCCCACACAATCATGCTAACTGCCCAATCCAGTTGAAATCATGGAGATCTTATGGCCTTTATAAGGTATTTCAATTTAATAATTGAATAAAAATAAACACCCAGGGTGGTTTAACATGTCAGGCAAATGCATCCACTGTTGTTACTGATTATATTTTACCTCATTTTGGCATGAACTGTAAGGGAGTCCAAGAGGTTCATTGGCAGTGGTGTGATTGAGCCTGAAGCCATGCAGTTGGTTCCTGGGAGAGGTATTCTCATGTTCCCGTTCCCATAAATGGTTTCCACCAGAACGCCCATGGGTAACGTAAAGCATTCTGAATTAGTGGAATAAGCATTGCACAGCAAGGCAATCTTGTAGTCGTTCATGTGAAGACTTTTATTCCTTAGACTCTGTTGCAAGAACCTGGATACCCAAAGATACTTAAGTGAATGGGAGAAACCTGTTTATGTGCAAAAGATCTAATACACACTAACCATAAAAAATGTATATGTGATAATGGTATATTAGACTCATAGGGACATCAACTTTTTCTGGAGAATAAGACAGACACTACTTGGAGTAAATCAGAGAGAAATTAGTCCAGTACCCACTCAAGTCATCTCTTCTTACCTCATGGCCTAAAGAGCAACTATGTAGAATTAGGCCATGAGGTAAGAAGAGATGACTTGAGTGGTAGTCCAGCACCCACTCAAGTCATCTCTTCTTACCTCATGGCCTAATTCTACATAGTTGCTCTTTAGGCCATGAGGTAAGAAGAGATGACTTGAGTGGGTACTGGACTAATTTCTCTCTGATTTACTCCAAGTAATTTGTTTAGGCAAATAGGGAAACGACTCAAAAAATTTTGAGATGCCAAAATTTAGCAGCACTTTTCCAATGTCTCTACCTTGCCAATAAGCAAAATGGGATTATCAAACTTTTGCTAGGCTGAATACATTTACCATTTTTAATTATAAAAAATGAAAATAAAAATCCTCACAAAACCGAACAAATAGGGCAGAAAAGTTGCCTTTAAAACCCCATAAAATGATATATTTGTAATAATAATCACAGAAAAAAACCCAATTCATCTGCAGTGTTACAAATAAGTTATAATATACCTTATACCTTCCACGGCTTCAAAAGCCCTTTAAAATAAGTCAGATTGCCCATCTTTATTATAAAACACAGAACAGCTACTAGGAAGTTAGATAAGCTTCATTCCTGAGTTTCTTGAAACTGCAATCTCAAGGATGGCTATTTCCTTCCTTCTTTTGTTTAGTAGAAATTGTTCTATTTTTATTGGTCTTTTAGCTCTCAAGACTGTTTTGTCATCCTGAAATTTTACCGCAGTACTGGTTTCAAATGTTATCATGTGATAATGTTGTTGTTTTTTAAAGTCAGGATTTATGTTTCCTGATTTTAAGCATGCATTTCTGATGCTCTGTAGTTACAGGATTTGGTATACCATTTAATGTAAAAGTGAAAATATATACTTCTTTGGTGTGGGTATCATTGTTCATCCTCTTTTCAGAGATTCCAGGATGATTATGATTGAAAAGGACTTTACAAAACATAATTACTCGTGATGGAGCTTGAGAGAATGAGGAATTGGAATCTGTAGTTTAGAATTGTCACTGTGAGCCTTTCTGTTCAGATGTATCCAGATACAGGTCATTGCAAAAGCATGGGTTGACTGCGGTTTGTTGATATCAGGCACAGGAATGCACTAAGGGAAAGAGGAACATGATGTTGAATTATATTCCATTATCATTCAGCAAATAGATATGGTGAATCAAAATTTAGAAACAGAGTAACTACATTTTCAGGGACCTGTTGTATCTGTTGAGGTAACTATCTCTTAAAACCCGTTACCAATTCAATCTGCTAATACTCACCTTCACGTTTTCTCTTTTTTTCAACTTGACCATGCAATCAGAATTGCTTAATTTTGCCAAATGTCAGGTTGGCTACTTTATCTTTGAGAGTCTTCTTCTAATCTAGTTTCTACTCTTTGGAATAAACCACTGAACTATGTTGCTAGCCTTGCTAGGTCATCAGACAAGAAGCACACTCAGAAATATTAACTCTATCTTCTTTGTAAATTCTATTAACTAGTGGGAGATCTTGAAAAGTATTCTATTCCTTCATTCCCTGCACGAGGCAACAATCTAACAGCATTTTCAGATATGAACCTGGCTATCACATCTGAAGTCGTAAATCATTCTCAAAAATAGTCTCATATAATGCCCATTACTTATGACCATCTTTAAAAGTGTTTGTTGTGTCAATATTATATATAATTATATATACACTTTTCAGGGTTGTAAAAATGAAGTATAAGAAGTATAAGATAAAAACCTCAAGGGATGAGATTTTAGACCAACAATACCCGATGTCCAAAAAACATCAGGCTCCTCTTTGCCAAATAATCCCATTTGGGGAAAGGACTGGTTTTATCCCTTGGATATCAGTTAAAACTGAAGCAAAATTAATAATAGTAAAAATATTTTAAATGGCGACTCACTTCCTTCTCAGGGTAGAGGAGGTCAAAGAGCTTCATAACAGGAAGAAAATCGCCTAATGCATTTTTCTGAATGCTTCCCGAGATGAACTGTAGTAACACCCACATCAAATGGTCTCTGCCTTTGATCAGGCCTCGTCCTGCCAACTATAAGACAAAGAAAGTCCATGAATACCAAATACATACACCTAAGTAAACTCTTACAAGTTTCTAAAAATGATACATTTAGACACTTGCAAAGATGCTTTCCTCAACAAGTTATTTGCCAACATTTATGTAACACCAATTGTTCTGATTCTAGGCAGTTCAATATTAAAAACTGGAAAAAAAATTATCATTCCATACTCAGCCAAAAGCATCACATTTTTTTGAAGCCCTAGTTAAAACCCGTCCCACTCCGTCCCACCATCTGGTTGCTCGCAGCCACAATGGGACAGGAGGGCACGCGCCACCACCACGAGGTGAGGCGAGGCAGGTGGTGGAAGGAACTGCCCCATGTGCCCCATCCCAGGACCCCTGCAGCTAGGCCAGTCCCCGCTCGGCAACCTCCCCACGCCCGTTCAATGACTCGACTGCCCGTCCACCTCTTCCCTTTCATTCCCCTCCCAAGTCAGACTGCCGTGCTGCAGATGATGGGCGGGGGAAGCTCAGTCCCCTTACCCGGTCCCTCTGCCATTTGGGAGCTTAGGGGGGAGTGAAAAAAAAATTAACCAGACTTTCCAACTTCTTGCAAAAAAAAAAAAAAAAGATCTCGTGAAGTTGGAAGGTCTAATTGAACTTTTGTTTTAAGTCCCACAAACTTCATTTGTTTCCCTGCATGCGGCGGCGGAGAAACGCAACCGAGCTGGAAAGCAGGTTAGTGAAGGAACGCTTTGCAGAAGAGAGGTTGGTGCGCCAAGCTCTCCAGCTCCATAGTGCCAGAGAAATGCGATGGAGCTGGAAAGCAGTGGCAAGGCAATCCCCCCCCCAAGGGCTCCAGGCCCTGAAACGGGCCCATCTCTTTCCAGCCACTGCCCAGACCTGCCAAAGGATAAGGCTGGCATCTATTGAAATGTGATGGCACTCTGGCTCTGGCAGGGAAGGGTGATCCGGCACTGGCGCTGTTGGCAGTATGCCCACTCACTTCAGCACCCTCCCCAACCCTCTGGGGTTCCATGGGCGCTTTGGCCCTGGGCTGCCGCTTCCCAGCTCACCTCTCAGGCGAGCCGGGCCAGGAAAGCAACCCCCCAGCATCCCCAGGGCAAAAGCCCCCCACTTCGCCCGGAGGAGCGTCAACCTGGCTACCCCTGCCTCGGTGTTCTTCCCACTGCGACCCAGGGCTGCAGGGGTCGGTCTGGCACAGGAAGGGCACGTGCGTCCCCCCGCCTGAATCAAATCAACCTTTATTGTCAAAGTACAAGATGTGTACAATGAACTCTCTCCTACTGATAGTTGGTCCGCCCCCACACTCCGAGGTTGGCCTAATTGCCGCCATGCTTTGAAGCGCTGCATCTCCACCCCATGCGCAGGCTACGCCATGCTGTTTGTACCGCACATTGTCCTGCCCTGCCCCCCCTGCGCTTTCCACCTGCTGTACATGGGAAAAATATGATATCCCCGAAAATAAGATCTATTGGGTCTTTTGGGTAGGTGATGTACCAAACATACACATATATAAGACCTGGTCTTATTTTCGGGGAAACACTGGTAGGTGATGTACCAAACACTTCCCAACCTGCTATGAATACCTGATGTTAATCTTTACTGTTAAAATAATCATTGTTGGATTTTGTCAATGCTTGTATGTAATGTCATAATGCTGAAGATCTCTAGGTACCCACTTACCAAACTAACTGGTGCCAAAACGGAAGAGTCAACGAGATACAATAATATGTGTAAGCGTGAGACAGTTTTTTAAAAACTTGGAAAATAGTCATCCATTTGATCTTGCTACTGAAAACCTACCTTCTGATGCAGAGAGAGGACCATGTGAGGGAAGCTTGCAAACTGAAAAAGTACAAAGAAGATAAGCTGACTGGAGAGATGCTGCCACAGCAACTGGCTGGTTCCACCATCATCAAATTTCTCCTCTGTCTCTGAGCGCTCCATGGCATATACCACCAAATCGACCAACTGGTCCTCCAGCACAGGACATCGCTGTTTGTGCTGCAAGTAGAAATCAGATACAACATTCCAAAAACTAGCATTCATCTTTTTCTCTCTTTACTTTAGTAAATTGAGAAGCATGACATGAGCTTTCAACATAAAAATTTACAAGGTAAGCCAACGCATTAAAACTGTCTGATGTTACAGGTCACTTTACACCATACTCTACTTATTATGCCGATTTACCAAGCTACTTCTCTATGGAATTGATTGAAAGGACTGTTTATGAGAATACAGTTCCATGATGCATTTTGATTAACAAATCTAGGAATATGGAACAATGTTGCAATTGATTTGACTTCCCTATTCCTAATAATTGAAAAACTCAAATAATTTAAGTAAAACAAATTTCCATTTACCATACAGACTATGCTTTTCTGTTCCTTCCTTTTTACCCTATGAGCTTTTTATTTTATGTATAAGTAATTAAGCATGATTTGAAGTTAATTTACAGAACCTGGGAGGGATATCAAACATATGTCCTCCTCCTTATTCAGACTTCATTTGCCACAACTCAGTAATTTAAATAGAATGGATTAGAGGGGGGGAAAAAGACAAGGTGCTTCTACCTACATATTAGTATGCATGTAGTTTGATGTTACCCATGGACAAATTGATAGCATTCATGGATCCTGCTAAGCCAGACACAGGAGATAAGCGAAAGAGGAGGAATAAGCCTTAGTAATCTCCAAGATGCACTTTGCACTCCTTCATTAATGCTATACATAATCTGGAAGCCTCTTTTTTTTTATTTAACTGGAGCCTGTCATGTTGCCCAAATAACTGTGGTTCGCATAATTAGTTTCAAGCCATCCAAAAGTGATTTGAGAAATTGGTTTGCTGAAAGTAGCCAACGCTCCAGTTTAAAGCAGTGCTAGGTCTGGGCCATATGGCAAACCAGTGGAGAAGTTCTAAATCTTTCCTGTATAGAGGACATAAAAAGGAGAGACTGAGCCTCAGGCTTCTTGCTGCTTATTTCCTCTTCATAAAACTCCATATGGCTTGGCATGTCAATGTAATCACTCTACTCATTCAATTCTGCTTTGTAACACTTCATGTTATTCCCAAACAGCCTTACTAGGATTGAGAAGGAAATTGAGCATTATGTAAGAAGCGTTCCACTGAAATAGCCAGTGGTGGACTAAAAGCCTGTTGCAGCCTTGCCTTGCATTGTACTGTTTAGATTTATCTGGACATTTGAGTCTTGGCTTGATTCTCTATAGTCTACACCTAACACTTGGGTTTAGATTATTCCTGATATAATTTATAGTTTTATAATTTATAGTTCTCATGTCTAAATGGCACATGACAAATTAAACTTTGTACTTGGACAGTCCGGATGGGAACTTTATAAAATACAGCTAAGACTGTAATTTTTAGAAGTAAGTAATTGGGAGGATTCACGGATTCTCTGATACTGCCATAAAACTAACGTGAGCCATTTCTGAGTTTTTTCTTTTTTTTTTTAAACTCAAAGAATATTGGTTTTGCATTATGGACCTGTAACATAACACAGCTTTAGCAGGAAGGAAAATATATTATCTTAAAGAGACCATACAGAAAAGATATGGAGCTGTTTGGAATCTAATCATGAAAATGCTGCGTCCCTTTCTAGAGGCAAAAAAAAAAAAAAAGCAATTTGGGGGTTGTTTTCCTTTTTGGAAAAAAAATTTGCCACAGGATCCAAATATGATTTAACTCAAAACATTTTAGCACTCCTCCTAATGAATTTTCCTTTGACTAACCGATAGCCTGCGATACTTCTCTGAATTAAAAAAAAAAGAACTACCTTGAAAAGAGATATTTAGCCTAAATCAGAGGGGGTAGCTTTTTGCCATGAAAAAGGGATTATGCTTTCCAATTAAACAATAGAATGCAAGAATGGCAAAAAATTTGGACAAAATCGAAGAACAGCACTCTCTCTTCCACATGCTCTTTGCCAGCTCAAAACTGCCCCAAGCTACAATTCTAGCTGAGCTTTCTTGAAACATGCTTAAAAACAGAAGAACTCTAATCAAAAAGAAAGCATTAGTTGCTTCTGACTCTTTTTTTAAAATCACAATGCCATCATCACAACTCAACCACATTACAATTTTACAATGGGCAATATCAACACCAGTTGAGAATACTTTTTTTTCCCAAATGCAGCTAATTATGAAGCAGAGCAGAATGCAACAGACACTACTACAAACTATTTAATGATTCGGCATGCAAAACTACTGTGTTCAGGGCTTGAAATTCACTATAATTTGATATGGAGAAATACAACGTTGTTGTGGTAATTATCAAGCCAGGATATATCGTTAAAATAAAATTCATGATTTTTTTTTTTTTTTTAGTTTGGAAAAAATATAAAAGCCAGTTCTTGGCTTCCACCATACTATAACTTGACCAGGAAATGGAACCCACAAAGCAGCAGATATATCAGTTGTTCTCAGTAGTTCTATGGGGAAAAGAGGTTTAACTAACAAACAAACAAAAAAAAAACTGTTGGGGTCTTAGCATTTGCTGAATTTCGTTCTTGTAAATTATGTATTACTCTCAGTGCTTTGAGAGTAAGGGAACAGAAAAGATCAAAGCCAAAGTGTTAAGAGCACAAAATCTGACTCTCACCCCCTGACAGAAAGAACAGGCACGATCACTGAGATACTTCTCAATTTAATGTTTTCAATTTCGACCTCATGTTTTCTTCAAAAAATCAGTAGTGCTTGTCAGCGTATTTCCTTCTGTGCTGTAGGTGCCAAACTATGAAGTCAACCAGTTTGATTTCCAGGACATATCCATGCTATTTTCTTGGTAATCGTATGGAAGTGGCCTGCCCTTGCCTTCTTCTGGAAGAGTGTTAAGTTCCAAGTCCACCATACAGCCCTGGTATTTCCCAGTACTCTCACCTCCTAGTATTATACCAGGCCCAACTTTTAGTTTCCAAATCCAGATAAGCTATGTGTTGCTACATTCTGAAGTGTTTAGACCAGGGGTAGGCAACCTTGGCTCTTTTATGACTCGTGGACTTCAACTCCCAGAATTCCTGAGCCAGCATGGCTCAGCTTGGAAACCTCTCCCTTTCCCCTTGGCATGGCTAGTGCAGGAATTCTGGGAGTTGAAGTCCACGAGTCATAAAAGAGCCAAGGTTGCCTACCTCTGGTTTAGACTGTCTGTTGTGTAATGATGGGTGGGTTCTTCTATAAATTAATTCATAAACAAGTGTGCCAATCCATTCAGAAGTTATGAAGGTTTACATATGAACCTACTGGAGCTTCTGCGGTCAGAGGATTAACGTGGCTTTCTTGTGCAGAAACCAGCCACTACAATCAAATAATTCAGTTCTTTTAAGAGAAACTTCCTTTTCTTAGGTAGCAAATGAAAATGATACCTCGCTGTCTGACTTCAATTCTTTCAATTTCAAGCATTTTTAAGTATAAATATAGAGTTCCTAAAAATGTAACTATTTTAAACTACGTGACAATTAAGCTATTTGTAAACATTAGAATTCAAGAGACCTATTCTCATGTACAAGGTACAGAATATGGACTCTCATTCCTGTAGCTTGAACCTCTTTCTTTTGAAAGTCGCATAAAACCAAGAATAAATGATTTTTTTTCATTATTCTTTCACATTTTGCGTAAAAACTGGTTCAGTGGGCAACAACATCAATACATGGAGGAACCTTAGTGGATCTATTAGTTCTAAGAGACACTCTGAAGTGCACAACCTGTGCACATAGAGATCATACACCTCTTCAGCTGATTTGTAAAATTCATTTTACTTAAAATCAATATCAGCAGGTAATTAAAAAAAATCTTCTGTAATGATAGCAAGTTAACATTCTTAAAAGAATAACAAAAATAAGGCTTGATATATGAAACTCAATCAAGAATAATTCAAAGCCCAGTTTCTACTGATTTTAGATTTTTTTTTTTAAAAAAAATAGTTTTAGTAACCATTGGGGGGAAAAAACCCCAATAGAAATGAAATTGCCACAGTTTCAATTTGAATTGACCACAAAGAAATGGTCTTTTGAAAACAATGCAATAGGCCTATGCCCCTCAGAGAAGAGTGAAAGATATTGTGTTCTTTACACATTTTACCTGTACCATAACACATTTCAGCAGTGCTAGATACAGAACAACTATGCAAGATAGACACTTTGGACTACGCCTCAGAGTAATACTTAGAGTCCTATGCTGAGGCCATTAGCAGATCTAATTTTTAATGTGCAGCTTAGGAGAAAGACTGAGCACAGACAAAAATGGGCGTTCCTATACAGGTCAGCATACCAAAACATTCCTTAATCTGGCTATTACTTCTATGGGTGCAAGCCCAGTTTTCATAATCTTTTACTTTTAGACAAGGGTGATAATTTGACCGATTTACTCAAGTTTCAAGTTCCCAAATTCTTGTTGCACTTTTCCAGCACATTTCTCATTTGTAAGTTCAGATCTGAATAGTTTTCATATTCCACTTTGAACATTGTAAACTACAAATCTGCATGTAATACAGAATGCTCATGTCTTTTTCCTTGTCTGACATCCATTAAGATGATTAGGGGATTGGAGGCTAAAGCATATAAGGAACGGCTGCTGGAATTGGGTAGTCTAGTTTAACGAAGAGAAGGACGAGGGGGGACATGATAGCAGTGTTCCAATATCTCAGGGGCTGCCACAAAGAAGAGAGAGTCAAGCTATTCTCCAAAGCGCCTGAAGGCAGGACAAGAAGCAACGGGTGGAAACTAACCAAAGAGAGAAGCAACCTAGAACTAAGGAGAAACTTCCTGACAGAACAATTAACCAGTGGAACAACCTGCCTCCAGAAGCGGTGAATGCTCCAACACTGGAAGTTTTTAAGAAGAGACTGGACAGCCATTTGTCCAAAATGGTATAGGGTTTCCTGCCTGAGCAGGGGGTTGGACTAGATGACCTCCAAGGTCCCTTCCAACTTTACTACTACTATTATTATTATTAAGGCCAATTAAATTCTTAGTTCATAAACCTTGGGTTGAAGCCAGATAATGAACTGCAGCAAACACCAAATCTTATGATCAACTAAACAATTGATTACCTTAAAAAGATTTTGTAAAAAAAAATCTAAACATGGTAAAAATTTTGCTTAAGGAAATAGGGACTGAAAAGTAGATAATTTTTAAACTAACCCTAATAAGGGGTGATGTTAGTAAGACTGATGATGTAACCCTTTTATCTATAAATCAAGACTGCAGAAAGGAAGACCTTGTTAAAAAAAAATGAACTATGTAAGCTTCTCTTCTATTAAGAAGTCTAGAATCTGAATGCTCAACTATCTGAGCAATTTCACAAGCATCTGGATAGGCTTTAATTCTTGTATTTTAATTTATTTAGGCTAATATTTGTTCTATTTAGAGTAATATTTGCATTGTGTTTTTAAATATTATTCTGGGAAAAAGGACAGTATACAAATGATGACAATCACAATAAATAAAATTGAAGTGGAATAAGATCTGGGGCTACTGTTTGGACTAGAAATATGCAGAAACAACTTTGAAGCAAATTGTTTCTTTTCAACTTCAAAAAACAAAACAAAAAAAAGAACACAAAAAAAAAAAAACCAGAGGAAAGTTTTCAAACAGTGTGTCCCTTAAGAGTCAATGTCCCATCTTCTTAAAAGAGGTGTTAAAGAACATCATTGTCCTATTCAGTTCAACTAAATAAGGAAGAGAGCCACTTTGGTGATCTAATTACAGAAACATATATTTGAGAATAATTTTCTAACCTGAAAGGGATTGTCCTTGTAAATAAAAAAATAAAATAAAAGGACAGAATTATTATTGGAATGCAAGCCAGAAATAGAATGCCAGAAAAAAAATATTCGTTGCCTTGGGATTATTATATGAAATAAATAACCAACAATCCTTTTGTAATAATGCTTTACACTGCTCATCTTATCCACAGAATCTGTTCCCAAATAAATCAAGGAAGACAGATCACAAGGGTAGGCCGTACCAGATTTAACTTCGTATCACTGGAACCTTTATCTGCAGGGGAAAACCACACTTGGCACATGAAGCAGTGTGAGCAGATAAGCTCATATTTTTGTGTATTTCAATTTAATGATCTGTTAGCAATGTGCAATATCAAATGAATGTAATTCTGGTGCACTTCTAAGTCTAAAGTACCAAAGAGATCTCAATATCCCCCCGTTTCCAAGTAGGTTATCTACCAACCACTGGTTTGTATAATCTGATGGAATTTTCAGCATCAACATCTGAATTCCCATCAAGAAATGTCACACACGATCCTTCCATGCTTTCCACTGACAAATGAACAAGAAATTCACAGACTGTTGTTATTATGGCAGCACACCTACAACTCAGAGTTTGTCAGCATTTCCATCAAAAAACCATTAATTCCAGGTTTGTTGCTTGACGATAACTGTTTGCTCTCAGAAAATTGAGATTAAATGACAAGTCTCAGTGTTTCATAACTCGCAACGCATTAGGCAACAACTATTAAATTTCTATACTCAAGCTAGTATCATGGAGTTTTGAAGAATTTAACCCACAAAATCTTCATTCTTAATTTAAAAGCATACATATACTGTAAAGGTGAAAGAAGATTTGAGGGAGACAGTAGAGAGGGGTCTATAAACGTAGCAGAATGGAATTACAGACAGTATCTTGTTTAAACATTTGGAGCTCAATATTTTTTCATACATTTGCCTCCCTTTCAAGGAAGAAAGTTGTGTCTCTTTAAGGACTTAATCTGGTTTGAATGAGGTGAGATGGGAAAGGAAAGAATACTGCTTTAACTCCATATATGGAAAACTCAGGATTTTAATGGTAATTTTTGTGTTTATCATATCAGAAAATCCTTCCTGTAGGAAGCTCTTTAACAGAGAGAAAGTTAAAGTGCAAGAATACAGCTTAAGAAAAGCTAACAAAGTTAGTTCCAAAAATACTTTTCGAAAAGCATCTGGACTTTCTTGGAGGTTTTTTTTCTTTGAAGACTTTTTTTTTCCTTTGAAGACATTTCGCTTCTCACCTAAGAAGCTTCTTGGACGAGAAATGAAACATGTTCCAGGAAAAAATAAAAACAAGAAAGCCCAATTGCCTTTTGAAAAGCACCTTTGGGACAGCCATGACCTGGATGATTGAGATGTTCCACAGATATCAAACAAAGCTAGGTACACAGTTTAAAAGTAATATGATGAACTCTACTCTGGGAACCCCTATAGATCAATTACTATTTTATGTAACGAGTGTGTCTGTTATGCATATATGCTTTACGGAATGCAAATCTCCTAAAAAGCATATAGAATAATAGCATATATAAATACCAAAAGACCCAACATCAGTTTCCTATTCAGGTAATGCGGAGGGGAGAGTAGCAATTAATTGTAATTGTGTTGCTGTAGTAATTTTTGTAAAGCACTTTATGATGTTTTTTTCTTAAGAAGAGGGATGCCTTCAGAAAATAACAATAGATTGACCAACATATCTCTAAGATATGAAGATTTGCATGAAGAATGCACCTGCCTCTTAACAACTATGGGTTTACCGACACTGCATGTCCCCTTGTCAAAAGTGAATTGAAAAATGGACACATTTGCCATACTACAAAATTTTGACATACTGTCATACAACGAAACCTCTAAACACCCAAGGAATTTACAGTGCAGTGCCATTTTGAAATGCACAGGGAGTTCACTGAATTGGGCAGTTGTGTAGCCGTGATACAGGAAAGAACATGTCACATGGAAGTAGGTCTTTCTTTGTGCCATCTATGGGAAAGAGATTGTTGTGTTCCAACAGCTCAATCTGCCACAATCAGCACTCTACAACTCAGATCCTTCATTACGGCCAAAGTATTTAATCGTTCGGCTATAATGTGGAAGGCTTTGCAAAATAACATGTGGAAGTGCTTCGAAGTTTGTGGAAGTGGGGATTTATTTATTTACTGTAGCAATGTTTTATTTTCAAGCAAATGTTATGGTCAAGCACAATCCATGAAATAAACATGTTTTTCCCCCCCCCAAAATGAAAACACTGACACAACCTTCACTATGGTATTGCAAACACTGTCATCAAACTTTAAAGTTAGATTAGAAACGGACTAAAATTGCCAATATTTGAGTGTGCAATCAGGCAAGCATATACAGCAGGTAAAAGTTGCAAATTTTTTCAAAATTTTCCTCCTCCTTTTTTTTTTCTTCCACCACCTGGTTCAGCCCATTTGGAGCTTCTGGTGAGCGCGTTTATTACAGAGGCTGAGCATGACCTTTCCTAGTCAAGTTGAATTTTTATTGACAAATCTTACGTAGTGTTAAATTCAACAAAGGGAATTTTCTTTAGGTCTTTTCGTAGCAACTTTGTTTTTTGGGTTGTTTTTTTTAAAAGACATTTTATAGTCTGAACAAAAATAACGCTGGAAGGATTGGGCAGTAATGGATAAATCTTATCCAGATACTGAACTGGCTATGTATATCCTCTGGTAACCTCGAAACCTCCAATTTGCAGAGGAAGCGGTTCTTATTATCATTGCATGTGAAAATCCCACCAATTTCAAGCCCTGGCCAGATGCGTATTCTCGAACTGGAATCAGTGGCTAGAAAGCAGCCAGCGTATCGTTAGTCACAATACAACAGTAAGGTTGTGAACATACCTGAGCAATGTTCAAGGTCTAGAGCATTGGAGGATGGGCAGGACAAGACAGGACAGAACAAAAATAAAGGAAGAAAAAAAGAAAAGACAAAACAGTGACTATGAGGCCAGCCTCAAGTTACCCCAAATCAGACCAAGCCCACCCACATGGTCAGGCAAAAAAAAAAAAAAAGAAGCACAAAAATTGAAATAAAATAGTATCAATTAACAGTAGACTATTCATTACCATCAGAGGCAATGAAAACATGCCAAGGCATTCAACAGACAAATTCTACCGACTATTCAGCTAAGCAATACATCTATCACCACCACCACCTTTCAGTCAATCAGTCAGTCAGTCCATCAATATTAAATGAGAAGATGCCTGCTGTAGAACAAAATCTGTCCAGGGTATATTTGAGGCTGGCCTTATAGGGGAAAAAAGCAATGCCAAAGATATCCTTTTTTTAAAAAAAACAAAAACAAAAAAAATTATCTTTCAATTTAGAAGTCTTTTAAAGCAATAGGTAAGTAAGAGAAATAATCGTGCCCAATTAACCTAATGCAATAGTACTGAAGGGGGAAAAAAAATATGATCTGATCCTCAACTGTTTTGCTTAGTTAGCTACAGCAAAGAAAAGAGAAAAGAAAAGTGCAGGTTCTACGCAAAGGAAAAGCCATTACAGCACAATACAGTACCTGCTTGTTTAGGCCTAGCATATTGCAGACCATATCTCGGGAATAGGGCTGCTCCAACACATACCGCAACAAGGCAGTCTGAGGCTCAAACAGATCCTTGAAAACAAGAATAAAAGCAAACAAATCCCAACCTATTGGCACAAAATAAATTTGAAAGCTGAAATCAAATGCACTGTCCACACAAAGCAGCATTTGGCAATGTGACACCCACGAGCGCTTACACACTGTGATTCTCCCAGATAGCCTCTGCAAATCCTTCAAGTAAAAACAGACACACACACAGAGGACACAGTATATACACTGGGCTGATGTATCCTAAGATTGTTTGCTCTTGCAATATCTGGGCATTTGCGCGTTAAGAACTCTCTGTTAAGCAAACTGAAATTGTTGGGTGGGATTGATAGAAATCTTACACAAGGCTTTAGATCAGTGGTTCTCAACCTTTTTAATGCCGCGACCCCAACCGGTCGTAAGTCGAGGACTAAACCGGTCATAAGTCGAGGACTAAACCGGTCGCAAGCCGAGGACTACCAAACCGGTCATAAGTCAAGGACTTTCCCTGCCTGGGAGCGCCGCGCATGCGTGGTTCCGCCCCCTGCGCCGGCCGAGGCATAGCTGGCAAGCGGCAGAGACGGAGCAGGCTGACCACCAGGTGGCCCAGCACCCGCCGGAAAAGGGGAAAAAAATGGCGGACAAAAAAAATGGCGGACAGCCTTGCTTGGCGACCCCCATGAAATGGTCGATCGACCCCAAATGGGGTCCCGACCCACAGGTTGAGAACCACTGCTTTAGATGCTTTTTCAAGAAAAACGTCCAGCCTATTCTATGTGGAAGCGTGTAACGGGTGCCCAGGCCTAAAAAGATTGCGAAATGCCGAAAGAAAGCATTAACTCAGATTTATGTCCAATTGTCTCTTTTATCTCGAGTGCTTTTTCTGCCGGATTCTTATTTCAGGCTTCATTTGTTTAGATAATAGGAGTGATCTGTTTCAAATATTAGGCAGCATCTGGCAAAATCATCTATCTACAGAAAGGGAAATTAGGCTTATGCAAATCATTAAAATGGTTATGAGGTCTGCCAGGCTCATATGGCTGCTTCAGAAGCTGTTCCCAGTTGCCTCCAGGCACAGAGCCACTCTGCTTGGCGGCCAGTTCCGCTGGAACTTTTTGGCAATGTACAAATTACTGGGGACAGTTTTTGAAACAGCTGCAGGAACTCATTTATTCAGCTGCTTTTAAAACCTGAAAAAAAGAGACCTCCTTCATTTTCACTGAGGCTAACCCTAGTGGACAAGAAGTTCATAATCAAAATGATTTCACCCTCTTTATGGCTTTTATTTTCCAAGCATTTTATGTTTGGAAAATTAGCAGCAAGGAATCATAGTCAAAAGAAAGGTGTAAATTTATCCCCAGAGCTTTAATTGGTATAAAAGCAGGACTCACTCAAGATGCAGGTGTAATTAGATGCTGCTATAGCTGCTTATTAAGGAAACAGAATGAAGGCAGTTGGTATTTTATTTGGATTTCTTTCTATTAGCTCTGGAATCTAATGGAAATGCATCATTTCCTCATTAATAACATTTTAGGGTATTTTAAAAAAAATATTGTTGCTACACTCTGTTTCTCGCAGACATTTTATGTTTTATATTTCTGTGGTTTGGAATAATTGTTTTGTTACTTATTATAAGGTGCCTAAAACTTGTTGGGCCATAGTTCAAATCAATCAAATAATATTGGAAGAGGTACTGCATGTAGAGCATGCATGTTTTATGCTGTGCCCAAATCTGGTCCTGAATGTTTGGATTTTGAGAAGAATCTTTTTAAAAACAGTTTGCTTTGCTTTGAATAAATTTAAAGGGATCTCTTGAGACATCTTGTTGCTGCCAAAATCTTTTCAGGGGTTACTTTAAGGCTAGTAAGGTACTTTATTTTACTTTCCTGATACGTAGGTACGTAGGTAAGAGAGAAGAGAGAGACAGAGAAAGAGAGAGAGAAAGAGAGAGAGAGAGAGAGAGAGAGAGGGAGGGAGGGAGGGAGGGAGGAAGGAAGGAAGGAAGGAAGGAAGGAAGGAAGGAAGGAAGGAAGGAAGGAAGGAAGGAAGGAAGGAAGGAAGGAAGGAAAGAAAGAAAGAAGGAAGGAAGGAAGGAAGGAAACCTTTTTCAAGATTAGTGCAATGTTTGGGGTATCTCCCCGCCCAAAAATCCCCCACATACACATCTGTTTAATGTTTTTTATAAGCATTCAATTAATAAGCTAAACCTCAATTTTCACTGAATTTTTGAAATATGATTAATATGCTTATTTATTCTATTATATTTCAAAGCATTCACAAAGGTCACATGCACATATACCTTATCATAGGGCAAAAGGCCTTTCAGTGGAAAACGAAGTGTTGTCGGGTCCAGTTTCCATGAATTGCAAATAGCACCAGAATTGTTCACTACAGGAAGAAGACTACATCGTCCTGGACACCAAAGAGAGAAAATCACAAAGCATATTATTCCCTGAATGTAATTATTACCGTAATTGGGATATTGTTACTCAGCTTTTTTTATAAATATGCAAAACTTCCTACAGATGGGTACAGATTACATTCTGTAAATATTTTAAATATTAACAAGTCCCATTTTCAGATATTTTGGATAATCAGGTTATCCTGAGTTATATGAATAGCAAATTTCAACTTTTCAGTTATTATTTTTTACTGTTATTAGACACAACAATATTAAATCACAGCGGTCAGTTCTTTAGCTGGCATTGACCTTCATACACATCCCCAGAACTTACGTTGCAATATATCAGCATAGCATATATGCAGATCTAAGCAGTGTGGTCTTTTGTAATGGACAGTTGGAAATATTATCAATGTGAAGATTATATAACACATTTATATATTTGTCCATCTTATATTGAACTCTGTGCAGCTCCCAGTCATGAGATTTTCTAACTGCCATTCACAAAATTTTGGTATTGCACCCAGTGAGCTGATAACCACTGGGACCATGATGGCTAGTTTATGCCATAATCTTTCAATTTCAATTTTCAGATCTTGATATTTTGTGAGCTTCTCAATTGGTCAACTATTCCAGGAGTCCCCAACCCTCAGTCCGTGGACCGGCACTGGGCTGCGGCATGCCAGAAACTGGGCCAGGCAAATAAGCCACATAATACTTCCTTCTTTTCAACCACAGTTAAATCTGCTATGTTATGTGCCAAGACTTCAATCAATTTGTATTCGAAAATCCTACAATATTTTAACCAGCTCATTTTTTACTACTTTTTTCAACTCTATGTTTTTCAGTTTTTCATTACTGGCACATGATAATTTTTGTAGCTGTTCCAGTGAGTCATTTTGCAACTACGCTGGGTCATTGGTTAGAATCAGTTTGTACCATCTTGTATGAGCTGCATAGATGATCTACTATTTCTTCTGTTTCTTTGCACAATCTGTACTTTGAATCATTTGATGATTTTTTTTCCAATTGTGGCCTTGATTGCATTAGCTCGAATAGTTTGCTTTGGAACAGCCAAAACCAACCCTTTTGATTTTTTTTTTAATTTTAGTGTTCCAGTGGTAAGCAATTGCCAGGTTTTATCTTTATCCACTTTTCTCTGACTCTTTTTTAGAAATTGACCATACTAATAGTAATAGCAATAGCACTTAGACTTATATACTGATTCATAGTGCTTTACCACATTCTCTAGGTGGTTTACAGAGTCTGGGTCCTCATTTTACCAACCTCGGAAAGATGGAGGGCTGAGTCAACCTTGAGCCGTAGAGGATCGAACTGCTGGCAGTCAGCAGAATTAGCCTGCAATACTGCATTCTCACCACTGCAGCCACCACGGCCATGCTTTTCTTTGCCAGCATTCTGCTTGTATTATTACATTATTTCAATATTCATGCTTTGTTTTCTGTGCATTCAGTCTTATTATTATATACAAGTTATTATTAGGGATTCTCATTTTACAGACAAAAGTAATCCAAAGATCTATTTATTTATTATTGTGGTTTTTAGTATCGCCTGTTCACCGCCCTGAGTCCCGTAAGGGAGATAGGGCGGTATATAAATTTAATAAATAAATAAATAAATAAATAAATCTAATATTTATAAATGGTATCTATATTATCCTGGTCATGAGAGTTGGACCTAACCGTTGAATCCTGCCCCTTTGCAAAGGTTTTCTTTGTCCCTCCCTCCCTTCCTAATTTGTACACTGATTCAATTAATAGTACAAATGCAGGCAGACGCAACCAGAAAATAAGCCCTAGCCTGATTTTTTAGCATGCTCCTTATAAAAGCCCTACCTCCTAAATAAGCCCCAGTTAAGATCATCATCAGCCTGGGGGGGGCGTGGCCAGCACAGGAGGTGGCGAGTGCGTGGGGGCCGATGGCATTTGGCAACAGACGCAGCCCGCGCAAGTGAGTCTTAGCACTGCGACCACCGGGTCGGTCCTCCAAGTAGAGGCGCAGGGGGGGAGGCAGGCAATCCCGATGTGTGGCACTACCAGCAGCAGGTGGAGGCAGAGGGACGGGGGACGCAAGTGATCCCAATGCGCGGCGGCACCGGCAACAAGCAGAGGCAGAGGCAAGGGGGGAAGGCAGCAGGATCGCCTGCCTCCCCCCCCATGCTTTTGCCTCTGCCAGCTGCCAGTGCTGCTGCGCATTGGGATCGCCTGCCTCCCCCCTGTGCTTCTGCCTCCATCTGTTGCTTGGACAGGTAATCAACTCACCTGCACTGCACTGGCTGCGCAGCCCTAGAGTGTACTGGTCAAAGGGCCAGCGGGCTCCGGCTGCTGCCAGACTCCATAGATCCTCGCGCACTTGCCACCTCTTGTGCATGCGCCAGGAGGGTGGGAAGCCTGGCCAGGCTGATCACCCTGATACCGTGCTTCTCTGAAAATAAGCCCTAACGCATCTTTTGGAGCCAAAAAAATATATAAGACCGAGTCTTATTTTGGGGGAAACACGGTAACAGAGTTGAAATAACTAATATAAGGACTTTTCTTTTGAGAACTCAAAGTAGTTCATATAAAAATAAAAACAAAATAGAGGACAAAATCAACCACAATAACTGATATGCATCAGAGAAAGGTAATTAACACAGGTGTACTCCCAAAGATAAAACAAAAAGATGCATTAGGGAGTAAATCAACATTCCCTGCCTAGCCCCCCCGAAAAGGAGCCAGCTTTTTACAGCTTTGTGAAAGTCCAATAAGGTGTGGGCCATGCAGGTCTCAGGAAGAATGCTGTTCCACAGGACAGCCACTAAGAAAGCATATTTCCTAGGTTCCACTAGATGACAACCTTCACACCTGATGTAAGTTCATCTTGATCTTACTGGCTTGGCAGAAACAATAAAAAGAATCCTACAGATAACCAGGACCTAAGCCGTGAAGGATTTTATAGGTCATAAGCACCAGCTTGAATACACCAGGGGCCAGTCACTCTTTCTTAGGGCAGTTTATTTTATAGGGCAGTTGTTTGGGGATAACATGCAAAGAAACCCTTATATGAACTACTTTGAGCTCTCTCTCTCTCAAAAAAAGAGGGATAGAAATGCAATAAATTAGTCTTTGCAAACCTATCATGTTTAGTCTGATGTACAAATCTGTAGCCTGTTTTGTTTGATACCAAGTAATAGATTGGAGCTCAGGAACCAACGGTAACTATTAGTAATAGACATACCAAATGCCTTCAAACTTCATAGGCTAGAGAGAGCTAATCCTTCAGTTGCTACATACACAGAAAATGCTTACCACAGATGGAATTTATTCTTGCTGTAGGCCTGAAGGAATCCACAAAATCTGATACAAGGTTACCTAACAACTAAAAAACATATAAAATAGGAAAACATGATTTAAACGCTAGTTACAAATTGCAGATTAATTCAAAACCCAGAAATCACAACTTGAAAGTACCGTGAAAACTCCAGTGCTATGAACTTGTGTGCACTTATGTGCCTCATTATGCAAACTAAGTAATTTCTAACAATTTACACAGTTTGCATAACAGCGTTCTGCAAATGACATAAGAAATGCAAATGATATAGAACAGACATGTCAAACTCGCGACGTCACATGATGTTGTGGGACGTATCGGAATTTTCCCCCCATTGCGGGCAATGGGGTGGGCGTAGTTTCTTGATGCGTCCGACCCATGGGCCAGCAGTTTGACACCCCTAATATAGAAGGTGCAAATGATATAATTTACAGGATGCCTTATTTGTTTAACCATTCCCAAGAAAAATAAAGAACTCTCTGGAGCTCTGCCTAACCGTGACTACCATAACAGTGGCTTTGTGCCCAAGGCAGAACTAGAATTCATGGTCTCCCAGTTTTTAGCCTGACGCCTTAACCACTACACCAAACCTGCTCTTTTATCTGTATTATCTATTTTTATATTCTTTTAAACTTTTATTTCTATTAATTTTTTCTTTATGTAATAACAACTTAAAAAAAATATTGGTCTGTCTATCTATCAAATTTGTTAAACTGCCAATTTATCGTGCCTGACTTCGTAAGGTCCAAAATTGAATTTATTTTTTTTATTTTTAAACATCAAATCTTACCCAGTGAGGAAGTTTTCCTTCAGGATACAACTTTCGGATTTCTGTGACGGCAAAGTAAGCAGGCAATAAGCATGCATTCCTTTCCAAAATATATGCAACAACCTAAGGAAAAACCAATAACCGGAGAAGAGTTATATATAT